TCGGTGGCATTGCCGGAAGGATTGCTTGGTTGGCCGGAATCAACGGCGGCGGCGGCGGCGGCGGTCGTCTTCTCGACGGATTGAAGATGTGCCCTTTTTCCGGCAGTTGCCACAGTTTTGATGAGAATTGATGGATCCAAATTGTCTTTTCCACCGATCTGTACTAATCCTTCTGCCATATCTATGGCGACGGAATACACCCCTTCATTGGCCGCCATTAAAACCAAAATCAAGTTTTCAGATTCAACACTAAAAAATTAAGTATATATTTAAATGCCAAATCACAAATTTGCCCCCAAAAATTCTTTTCAAGGGGAAAAAAAAATCAATTTTTACCCCTCGGGATTAAAAATGTATAATCAATTTTCAATATAAACACTCAATTTTATTCAAGTCAACAGAAACTTACACAAATGTTGTAATTTCAGTCGGTAATAAGAGTGATAACTTTTTTGTTTTTTGCAGTTTAAAAAGATCAAAATATAAGACATTAAAAAGTTAAAAGAATTTGTTTTAAGAACTTTTTGTTTTTGAAATTCGGCTACGATTCAAGTGGTGAAAACCATTATTACAAAAATAATGAAAAAAGAAGATTAATTTTTTAAAAACAAAATTGTTACCAGGCGGCTTAAATTTTAATTTGGTGTTTAATACTTCTGTTAAATATACAAATAAAAAATTAAATGTATTATAATCAATCGAATTAAGTTTTTGAATGAACTATTATTAGTTGGCACACTGATTATATTATTTAGGTCAATAACACTACAATCGGTGAGTGTGAATAAAAAAAAATTGATCAGAAAATAATAAAATTTCAGTTTTGATCGTGTGAGGATTAAACTAACCACCAAAATCAATCTATTAAAAATTTTTAAAATTTAAAAACTATATCCTGCCATCGTAAAAATTTATGGACCAAATTTATAATATAAGTAACATACCTGAAACTCTGAGAAGCCTCCTGGTTATTTTTCTAGGACATTCATTGCAGCATTGGATATTCACTCTCAGAACATAATTCTGCAGAACAAAATTTATATAATAAAAGAAACCAAAGGCAAAAAAAACAAAATAATAATAATTAAAAAAAAAGATGAAGAAAGAGGAAGAAGAATGAAGAGTAATCATACTGCATCAATGGAAGCTTTGCCATTTTCCATTGCCACAAAAACTTCAAATGAAACAGAAAAAGAGAGTACAGTAT